AAAAAAAAAAAAAAAAGAAAAACATGTGTGCCATTCCAATATTCGGGCGTCTGCATCTATAAAGCCTATTAATAAACACTCAGCTTCCGTTTATTTTTCATATTCGCTGCCATCATATTCGTGGCTGGTCTAGCCATCTAGTCCCACGGCCCCCTAAACCCTCAGCCCTAAACCCCTCCAGGTCCCAAATGCCTGGATGACTACCGTCGGCAGCTGGTGAACATCTCCGGAAGCCTCGCCACCACCTCGGGCAAGACCTGCACAGTCAAGATGCGTTCTGTCAGTTTAGCCCTCATACAATAACAGTCGACAAAAGGTACTGTAAACTCTATTAAGGCGTCGTACAGGGCTAATTGTGGACTGTTGTTGACTGTTATTGCTTGAGGGCTGCGCAAGAGGTAGGCCCAAAAATTGGTGCCTCAAATCACGGCAAGTTTGGACGTTTTGTCTGGAGCAGGCATACATAGGGTCTTGCATTCAAACTAGTCTTGTCCAGATGGGGGGGTGCTTTAGTAGGCTCAGGAGCTTGCACTCTGTAGGCCGGAGTTGCGCGGGAGGCTCCTGGTAGAACCTATCAAATCAAAACATAGTTCTGCATGCAACTTGCAATTTCCCAGCTTCTTGGGAACTACACGAGACAGGCTCGAAACGTCATCCACATCAGAGGTTGTTGTCTATTTCCAGCCTCCCTTGTTTGTCACCTCCCTAATGATAGCCGCCCAGCCCCTAATACCAAACACACTCAAGAAAGAACCATAACGAAATTCGTGGAACATCTGTTGCTCCGGGGTTGGGGAGGGTCGTGTTCAGGGGAGTGCATTTTGGCTCGTGAGATGCGGGAGTTCTCCTGCGAGCAATCACTAAACTGTACACTTCAGTGTTTAGGGTTGGGGGTGTGGGGCTTAGGATTTATAGAATTTAGGGTCTGTGGATCGGGTTAAGGGGTCCAGCTCGCTGAAGAAGACCCCGGGAGGGTCCCAACGATGGCAAGCCGCCTTGCATTGGAAACTCTTTCCCAAGGGCTTGGCATGAGCTTGAAACGGTCATATGTTATGTCGGACCCGAAGTAGGTAATACTTGTAGATTTTCAGCTCCAGGTTCGAATGACCCTGAACAAGAGTAGCAGAATGGCAGAGCAGAAGCAATACATTTTTTCAAGCAGCAGCGCTTGATGGTTTAAAGCTTGCCATATGAACAGCAGGAGCAGCAAAGCTTGTCCAATCGCCTAGGCCAGAACACAGCAATTCTCACAGGACTGTCTGCCCCAAAATGAAACCTTCTTGAGTTCAGGGATTGCCCTACAACCTATACTACCCCCCCCACCTTGATTCAACCTAGTTGGCCTTGATTGACGCTAGCTTTCCTAAAGCAACCTTTATTCCGAGAGAACCTAGCGGGTACTGTGGTAGGAGAAGGGGGTTGGTAGAGAGCGAATGAGTAGTGAAGCGCCGAAGTCACTTCAAGGAGCCCAACCTCGAATCCTGACGTTTTTGCCTCCCCAGCATCACTATCTGCCCAGGCAAAATGATGGACCAAAGCTGTTAAGCATCGTCCAGAACGCAATTCTGCCACACACTTTGAGAGGTCCATGTGTTCCTAAGAAACCTAAGCCCTAATTCGTTAATCCCACCCGCTACAAAGGCTGGGGCTTGGAGATATCGCATAGACCCGGAATGCCGGCGGCTCAGGATATTTCCAATTCTGCTTTCTGCTAGAAACAGTTTAGGGTTCCAAAGTGCGAGCCCGATTTCAAGTTGGTTCATTGTCTAGAAAGGTTCAGGGGTTGTAAGTAAGGTTTGAGGTTCTGATATTATTGGTCCATGTCTCTCAGTGGCCATAGGCTATTGTCTTTAGGATCCTGTTTGTTTGGTGCTATGGAAGGTCAATGGGTAGACGTACACGTGACCTTGCCAGCTCATCCCAAAACAATGTAGAACACACGTTTTGTTAAATAAGGTGCGATCCAACAGAACTTCTCCGGAACAAGCCACTGCACCCTAAAAATGGTGAAGAAAGATTTTCCTTGCATGCTACCTGCTTAGATGAAACAAGCAGGCACATTTTCTTCGGGGCTACCCACTTACATGAAACAAGCAGGCACATTTTCTTCATGCAGAAAGGGTTTGGGGAACACGGCAAACGAGTGTTTGGGGAGCGCAAGGGGACAATAACGGACGGACAAAGGGTTCCTAGTATAGTCCCCAATACACTCGTGGATAGGAACCCACGCCAAGTATGCAAGAAGGATTGACGACTGTAGCCTAGTGTAGAAACCTAAGCAATTGCCAATCCTTTGGTAGTAGGTTCCTTGTATGATTATATTTAGATGTAATATATATATATATATGTATATATATGTATATGCGCATACACATATAGATAGTATAGGGCGCCTCAAACGACTCACTTACCAATACTAACCGAAGCATGAAGGCCCACGATACCCAAGTACGACATCACTGGTCCCGGAACCCTGCGGCCTAAACCCTGCAAACAACACAGGGATGCGCTTAAATGGGTCTGATACGTATGTTCACATTTGGCTTCCATTCTAGACCGTTCTAGTAGAGGTTTGTATGCACAGGTTTCCCCCTACTTGGGAGTATGGAACCCATACAATTAAAACCCTAAACCCTACATCCTTGCATGTAAGCAGGTACGGGACGGCAGTCCTTCATGCAGTTTGTCATGGCTATTGAGCGGACGGGAGGGTGATCCTGCATGTTTGGGGCGGAAGGTTAAGGCTTGGTATCCTGCAAGAGGGGTTGTGAAGGTTAAAGGGGATATAGGGATTCTATAGGGTTATATATGTGGGGTATATAGGGTTTCAGGTGGCAAGCCTTAAGGGGTAAGTGTTTCAGGTGGACAGGTTTAAGTGTTCCGGGTTTAGGTCCAGGTATAGGCAGAGCAGGGATGAGGTCGATTGGTGTAGGGTCGAGGTTTACCTTCTGCGAATTTAACATGGAACCTAACAAGGTGCTCACAAACAAAGGAAAGGGATTAGGGCAACTGCCGCGTTTAGGGCACCAGTCGGCTTCAGCCCCGGGATTTTCGGTATACAGTCCACAAGAAGCTTTGTAGTTGAGGGCTTGTCAACGTGCAGGTTACCCGCAGCTATACTTCGAGTGAAAGGCCTCTGGAGCTGCTGCGCCACGGAATGAACCTTAATCTCGGGACTCATGCCAACGCTTCGGGATTCTACAATGCTGCCATGTCACAGAGCTCGATGCACCAGCAACACCCTCACAAACCTTCGCAATGCTTGCTAGTATCCTGCTTATAGGATCTGTGTATAAGGGTGCTTAAGCTGAAGGAGAGTTTCTAGAATGTAAGTCTTCAGATCGGTATCTTGTAGTTTATCAGGCCCACCAGCTGGCCCATACTTGGTCCGCATCCTCGGGTAGACGTCAACATAGGAGTTGTATTTGTCAATACCAGGTACCCCGGCAGTACGACCCTTTTATCTTTTTATTTTGGGGTGTCCTCATTAAAGCTTGAGAATAGGAAAAGGAAAAGGGTACCCATATTACTAGGGTGTTATTGGGGAACTTAGAATAATTTCCACATAATGTAAATGCTGATGAGGATTTGGCCTTCATTAAAACTCGGCTAGGACCTCGTCATTTAAGTTGTTGTCTTGACGGAGCAGATGACCATAGACTGCATCAGAATCATAAAGGACTTCTTTGTTCGGTCCTATTCACCCCAAAAAAGTAGAATTCTTGTGCTGTTCCCTGAATTTCTGATTTTTGGGCATGTCCTTATTTGTATAGCCCTACATCCTTGGGGCTTGGGCATGTTTACCTTCATTTTTCTCGTCAAGGTAGGCCCTATAGAAGACCAGCTCTTCCAGGTACAGTGGCAGCGTCAAGCAGCTGTGGGAAGAGATCTCGGGCGACAAGGATGAGTTCACCTTCCAGGAGATCCACCACAGACTTCAAACTGTAAGGGTTTTTAGTGCTTAGGGGTTAGGATTTAGCGTTCATAGGGTCAAGGGCTTAGTTTAGGGTTTTAGGTTAGCTTGGGTCTAGCTGTCCTCAAAGGGACCTTGCCAAGGGGCTAGTATAACTCCTAGTACCCAATCCAGGGAATGACCTAACAATCAAAACCCCAGACCCTAGGAATTGGCTCTTGGTAGAAGACATCCTCCACGACGCTCAGTCCTCTCAATCCCGGAGACTACCATAGCTTACGGACCTGCATGATGTACAGTAGCACCCTGCGTGGACCCACAAAAAGTAGAGGTTCCTGATCCCCCAACTTTAAATCCCAAAGAACATAGCAGTTGTCATTTTGTGCTTCAGTTTTGGTAGCCTGAGAAAACCATAAACCCTTAACCTCTATAGAACCTGTAACAACCCCAAGTTGCCTAACTACTTTGGAGCGAGGGACGACATCATGTTTAGGGCTTCTGAATGCGCCCCTATAAGCCCACAAGCCTAAAAAATCAGGGCAAATTTGGAGGACCCTAGTTTAGGAAGCAACGAATTGTGTGAACACTTGGGGTTCTACAGCTCGCATTTCTTTGGATTAAGCATCTCATTTCCCGTGCCACTCGTGTGATGACCGATCGTAAGGATCCAAAGGAACGAACGCGGAGTTGAGCTACTTGAGTTAAACAGTGTGAATCGCATTAGCTTCATGGCACTGTAGCAGCGGACTGGAGTATCGACATTGTATGACATTGTCAACATCATGTCGGTGAGCACTCACAGATTCTCAGCTATGACCTTCGCGATTCACAGGTTTGCGGTTCAGATAACAATAACAATCTAGACCAATGTTTTTTGGGCTGGTCTTCTGAGTTTTGGACCATTAGGTACACTTGAAGTCCAATTCAATACTAAGTACTGAGTTGTTTTTTGGTCCTGGGACTAGGGTTGGCTGAAGTTGATCTCGTGTGCCGGGTTCAGGTTCAGGGTCTGAGGCTAACGGGCTATCTATGCCTCTGATGGCTGCATGTCTTGGGAGATTGGGATTTGCGCTTCAGCTTGGACAGCGCCTTGCCATTCTCAGAAGCCAAAGAGCTCTTGATGTTCTTGTTGCAATAAGTGGAGTTCATGCTAGCATTGAACATTGAGAGGCTGCCTGGCATGGAACTTGAGCACACGATGCTGTTCTGGATGCGAGCAATTCCCAAGGCATAAGAATGCCATAGATCCGCTAGCGTCACGCCGTTGATGGGTTGAATAGACGCTCGAATTTCATGGGGTCTCTGTGTTTCAGGACCGTAGCTTAGATGGCCTTAACTCAGCTGGCATTTAGTTTGGTCTCACGGTCCGGTCTGGAATTTTGCACGCACGAGATTGCACGAAACCGCACACACAAGCTCGCACGACATTACACGCAAAAGGTGTTGTTATATGCAAGCAATTGCACGAGATCGGGCGCTGCAGACCAGATCGTTCGCACCGCCGTAAGAGATTTCCACATGAGCTATAGTCTAAACTCCTAGTATCCCCCTTAATAAGCCCTATAGTAGTCTCCTATAAAAAACTCATAAACCCCTGCAAGGAGTTTAGACTATAGGTCACATAACATCGCAACATGTGATATGCTGACACCACCTTGTTTTATTGCCGCATGAACGCCAGTTGGATCAGGATCTTAGGAATTTGGGAGCAAGGTTATCACTAATCACTAGATTTCAAATAGTTTATTGTCAGGGTCTGAAGTTCCAGGGAAAGCCACTCAGTAGAGAATGCAGTTTCCATGTAATATTATTGGAGGGGTTAATCACTTCGTTTAAGCTCCTTAACAACAATGAAGCTCCCTGAGTCCCAACACCAAAACCGCCAGCGCAGCTATTCCTTCCTGTAAAAGTCCTCAGTCATGTTAGGGCTTAGGGTTTCTAAAGAACCCCCCTATTGTTTGGGATTTCTCGTGCTTCGGATAGGACATAAAGGGTAGTTTCCATAAATAGGGGGACCCCAATATAGTCCCCAAATTACTAGAACCCTTATTATGTGGATCCCCCAAAATGGTACCCCTAATTCTCTGAAACCCCCCAAATCCTTTCTGTTCAGGACTTGGACCCGGAAGGTTTCGAGATTCTGCAGGCCAGTGCTGAATCAGGGTGTCTGTGATACGAGCCAGTCTAAACTCCTTGAAAGGGAGTTATTTAGGCGATTACGTAGGGACTACTACCGGGGTTATTAAGTGGGATACTAGGAGTTTACATTATAGCTCACATGGGGCCAGAAGTGCTGTTTAGGAACCATCTGAATTTATTAAATCATGTAGAAAATATTGACACTGGCTCATAAAGGAATTCTATAGGGATTATATTATGTATTCCCTACTAAGAACCGGTAGCATAAGGAGAATACATGCTTGAGAGGCTGCCAAGGAAACAACAAAGTCACAATGTCTCATGGGTGGTTTGCTTTTGCAGCAATGAGCTATAGCATCCTCATGCAGGTGTCACTATAGTAGAGGCCCCCAAGGACTTCGCCAAGCCACGTAAAGTAAAACAAGCAGAACAAGAACAGAACAGGGTTTCACCGCAGAACCGCTGAAAGTCGCGTGCTGGAACAGAAATTATACTTGCTACCATGAAAAACACAAAAAATCTTCCCCTCTGTTGAAGTTGAGTGGGACTGCCCAGTTCTGTTATTGAACTAGCTTAAGCTCTAGTCAGAAAACCTAAAGGCACCCGCCCCTGTTTTTCCAGGCATTCGGCACTTCCCTGCTCAACAGCTACGAGACGTTCGGAGGCCTTTCTGGGCTTTCGCTGCATCATAGAGGTTGTGGGATAGGCAAAGCCTAGAAGTTTGGGAAGAAGATAAAATCAAGTGTTCCCTGTTGCGTGACCTGCTGAGTCCTATAGTTCAACTTCTAACTATGCCGGATGTTGTAGCTTCCCTTAATACGGGAGAACCTCAGCCAAACTGCCAAAGGTGTTCGTCAAACCCTTTTCAAACACGACCCACAGGTCCCAACAGATTTCACACTGTCATCAAATTTTGCACACAAACTACGATCACAGCTGCAGCAACCCTGAACAGGAGGACCACCCAAGGAAGCTGGACTTTTGCGGAGCTCATGGAAGTAAACCTTCCGCCCTAAAACTCCTACCTAATTCAAAAAACTTCCTGGGCAGGATGATGAGTGTCCACCCTAGTTATCATTCCGAAACGGATCCGTGTTCACGGAGTACGGAAAAACCCTAAGCTTACTGCGGGTTCGTACGGAAGAAGGGAATGCAATATACAGGATCTATAGGGGTTCTATTTCCTTATTCCCTACGAACCACCAGTAAGATAAGCCACCTGGCAGATTTCTGGAAGAGCATGCTCAAGTTCAAGGATGAGCAGCTGGACGAGGTGGGCTACGAGGTTTAGGGTTTATCGCCTTTTAGGGTTTAGGCTGTAGGATTTAGGTTTTAGGATTTAGGGTTTAGTTAGGGTTTCCGGTTTCCTCAGGTCTTCAGATCTTGGCGGACAACCCAGAGGGTCCAAGTGCCCAACAATTGAATAATTGGATCTGGGAAATACCTGTAGCCGCAATTGCCTACAGTTTTATGGTTTATTTCTATCAGTTAGGGGGCACATACTACTAAACTGTAGATACTTGGGGGGGGGATACTTTTTGATTAAGGGGTACTTTGTGTTCGACATCCTGTGAAGGAAGCCTTCGCCACTCGGAGCGTGGAGAGCGGCATCGAGGGCCTCTCCAAGCGTGAGCTTAGAAGGACCCCGGGGCTTCCCTTCCCTATAAGGCAAACATGGAATCCGAAAAAGGGATTCCAACAACGATCGCTTTGTAACAACGGGCCTTTGTGTAGTTTGAGGAAAGTAGGATAGTTACAGGATGCTCCCCATTTCAAGGTAGCGACGATATTTCGGCGGTTCAGGGTAGATGAAGATGGCTTCCAGGTGTGTTGTGGCATCAGTCTGTCAGTGTCTGTAGGATTTAAGCACGGGATTCGTTCTGTTGTTTCTGGTCGGCGTGTTTCTGCGTTTCCGCCGTGGTGTTGGTGTAGAGATATGGCTGTTGAGGGCTTTGCGTTCGGTGGCATAGTAGACGTGTTCCACAGATGTGTTTGGACTGAACTCAGAAAGCATCACAGCAGCACCTACTTTGTCCACATATTTCTAATTATCTGTCTCAGTTTGAGGAGCAACGTAGCAGCGGTGGAGGGTATCGTAGAAGCGTGATAAGTACCAGTGCGAGTTATTCCCTTACAACCCTAATCAACTTTCATAGCATACCCACAAGGCCCTATGCTACTGGCTTTTTGTGGCCCCACATGCTCGGCTGTTAGGCTGAGAGTCATTGCCAAGTCTTCGCATCCGTGAACAAGACTGTGACTACTATAGAGGCCTCAATGATTGCAACAGGGTCTCCGGGTGCAGACCCTACACCCTAAAACAAAACCACAATGTTGTGGAATTTTGAAGTTACTGGAGACTGAATCCCAGCATGAAATCCTAATCAAGCCATCTAAAAACCCGTACAAACCCTAACAAAACCGCGCCCGGAGGATTTTCAAAATGTTCCTCCCCGAGCCAAGCACGGGAAGAACGAAGCTGATCCAAAACGACCTTGAGGCCCCCATGCGCGCAGCCATACGGCTTGGGGTTTAGGGCTTAGGGTTTAGGATTTGGGGTTTAGGGTTTTAGGATTTAGGGTTTAGGGCTTAGGGTTTAAAGTTTAGGGCTTAGGGTTTAGAGTTGAGAGTTTAGGGTTTAGATTTCAGAGTTTGGTTTAGGGATGTTTAGGGTTTACGGTGTAGAGTCTAGGGTTCAGGGTTTAGGGTTCAGGATTTAGAGCTTGGTTTAGAGTTTAGGGTTCATGGTCAGGGTTTAGGATGTAGAGATTAGTGCAGGGTTTCGGGGAGCGAGGGCGATATGATTTTGCAAGATCGCACCTAGATCCACTCCCCCATTACCCTTTACGCACGAGTGAAGGTATGATATGAAGGCTGTTCCAATCTTAATCAGGCTGTGTTGAGTTTACTTGGTGTCAGTTTCGGGGTTGCGGTTTGCGCCCTAGGGCTGGGACAGTGTAGGGACTTTGGGCTTTAGGGAGGTTATGATGAGATAGAATCCCTCTTTACTTAGTAACCCCTACAAAAGTCGCCGATATAATCCCGCACATAACCCCCTTCAAGGAGTTTAGACCCTAAACTTTAAACCCCATATAACCCTACAGTACCCTCTATAGCCCCCTTTTGAAAAACCCTAAACCTTAAACCCTAATGGGCATTTCTCTAAAGCAGGGGATCCTATGGATCCCGCCGAACCTGATATAACCTGCTATCATCGGTCAGGGTTTAGGGACCACCCCAAGGCTCCTGGGTAACTATTTAGGGTTTAGGGTTAACTATTTAGGGTTTAGGGTTAACTATTTAGGGTTTAGGGTTTAGGTTTTAGGTGTTAGGGTTTAGGTTTTAGGTGTTAGGGTTTAGTCTAGGGTTTAGGGCTTAGGGTTTAGGGCATGAGTAAGACTGTCAAGTTTTGAATCCACAGGGTAGTGCAGTGAAGGAATGGGTGGCGGGGGAACCCATAGATCATGATTACACCGGACAACACAGGGTGTACATTTGTCAACCATACCATCCCCCCCACCCCTATGCTGGCATAATGACTACCAAGAATGGAAGGGAGGGCTTGCGGTTGTGGACGCAGGGTGCGGGGCAATTCTCACCACCCGAAATCCTTGACTGGAAAGGTTTGGAGAAACAAATTTCCCGACATCATGTAACCCACGGGGCGGTGTCTTCTTCTAGACTCCACAACTGTTTAGATGCTCACCATGATGACTCCTAACAAGGGAAGACAGGGTTTTCTTTTTGGATCAGGATGCAAGGAAATCTTCGCCATCAGAGTCCCTTTTCCCAATGGTTGCAACAACTGTTGAAAATCATCTTCCCGTCATCATGCAAACAAAGGCGTGATGGCGAGAGCTGGGGAGGGGGCACGGATACTTCCCACTTGAGGCATAATGAACTTGTGGGTTGAGCCCTCTACATTGTAACCTGTCCTTCATATCCCTGGAGCCGTTATAGTTTCAAACCCTGCCTGACTCTCAAACTATCAAACTTCCCAAGACCAGAAATACCAAGGCCGTCAGCAGTAGAGCATTGCAGCACTGAAGTCTAGTGCCTAAGCCTTTAAAAATCCGACTCATAATAGCGTGAACCCTGAAGACTTAATCATGCGTACTAAAACCTAAACAACATAATGGGTCAAAGGCAGCTGCAGTTTACCTGCTTGTTTGTCATCAGGGCATGGTTTCAGCTGCTTCAGCTGAAAAGGCTCAATCCCAACAAGTCTGCCTGGAAACCAAAGCCTAAAAGCGCTGCCCGTCCATGACTGAAGAGGTACTCCTTAACCAAAACCCAAAGCCCCCCCTCCCCCCCCCACCCTAGGAACTAAATCATGAAGCCCCAGCCCGAAAGCCTAAAGCTTCCACCCTGTCCTTCTGTGAAGCAGGTCATCACCATCGCCTTAGGCGCTGAGCAGAAGGCAGCTCTCAGGCAGATCACGGGACCTTTGAGAAGCTTGGCCTCAGGGTCTTGTTAGTTTTTATGTCTTTTCTTTTCCTATTGGTATACTGATTCCTTAAAAGCGTTTACAAAGGAATTGGTGGTATGAAGTTTTCTTACAGCCATTCATGCTATTAGTAGTATCACTACTATTGCTCTTCTCATGATTACACACCGAGGTTTATCTTGCTGCTGTTAGCAGGGACTTGGAGGAATGGATGGAACCCCAGCCTCCATGTAATTGTCCAGTTGCTTTTCCCTATGATGCTCCATTCCCAGGGTTCCCCGCACAAAACGACGATTGAAAGTTGGGAAGATGTTTGACGGTTGAAGAATTTCGGGGCGCAGTTGAGCACTCCAGCCACTCCCCAACCAACACCATGGGCAATACACCCTAAACCTTACACCCTAAACCCTAAAACCCTAAGTCCAACAACCCTGAACCCTAAAACCCTAAACTCTAAGCTACCCTAATGGATTACAGATCTAATGTGGTTCTTTGCCAGGGCAGCCTCGAACCGTGTCGCTCTTGAATAGCTTTGAGGACTCAAATACTGTCTGATTCTGTATTACTACTGTCCTTTTCAAAGGGGAGGGATATGTTAGTAGCTAAACCCCTAAAGGAGGTAAACAACTAGCCCAAAACCTCAAAAAATGTCCCAAAGGCCAGTATTCTACATACTCTTGGGGTTCAGGTACTGTCCTTGTCAAAGGGGATGGATTTTGGGGTTCCATGGTCCACGTTGGTTTGGGGAGGGTAGCAACTACGACCTGCAGATCTGCCACAATCTGCCCGTGGCTGGTCTGCTCTGGCTGTCATAGAACCATGGCTATCTGCTGGGGTATCATCAAGCAGCAAGATGTGCCAGAGGGGTTTTCCAGAAGGATAGGAACAGTCTGCGCAGTACCTACCAGTCACAGCTTCTATAGAATCGACAAGTCGGGATCCCCTTCCCCATATGCCTGCTCTCTATGATGCTGTTTGTGTGCTTGAGAAGACACCCTCACCCACAACAGGACCTACATGGGCTGATTTGAGGTCAGACCCGCCGGGAGGTCGTGGTAGGCCTTGAAACCTCCAACCCTCGGCTGTAGACTCTGCTGACAGGCACAGCACTACTCAGAAGACTTTGGAGCTAGCAGGGATCTCGGTGTTTCTGGCAGGCTGCTGGCAGGTTCAGTTCAGGGGTACCGTTGATGCTAGTACCCATTGGGATAATACCGAGTTTATATTGTTATATTGGGATAATGGAAAAGAAAATGGAAGTTGCTGTCACAAGGCTACGCCAGATTCCAGGCCAGTTCCAGCAGTACAGTCTGGAAACTATTATAATAATGGGTTTTGTTGGGTCCTGATGAATGTGATGGACCCTGCAACACCTCGGAGGCCATATGAAAAGGGTCCTTCTTTACGCTTCCTGCTGTTCTGAAAGTGTGGGGATGGATTCACAGGGGATGGCTTCAATTTGGTCGGGATGCGAAACCGCAACATCTTAAAGCAGAGGGCCGTCTGTCATTGGCCTCTTCCTCTCTAAGCGACGGCGACAATGTACTTCAAAGGGTGCCTTTTCAATAAATCAGTAAAATGCGGGTCTCTACATACGGGTTCCCCTTTGCAATGTTAGTAACGGCTACTCAGGCTTTTTTGCCCTGCTGTGGGAAGCCTTGGACATGCCCAGACCCAATGTCACTGGTTCAACTTCAGTGGGTCCCGAGGACAAGCATCCTTTTGTCCTGGGCTTATTCATATGACGCGCAGCTCTTCTGTTATAGGGGATATGCAATAAAGGGTCGTTATTGGATTTGTGATGAAGGGTTTTTGATTGGAAAACGATATGACACTCACCAAAAAACGATAAGCTCAACACAACCCCGAACGAAACTTGGATAACACACTCGCCAATTCTCCCATGACCTCTAGCCCAGACAACAGATGAACACCGGGCTTCATATGCGGAATTTAGAAGTGAGAAAGGCCCCCACTAATATATGGTAGTTTCCCAAAATAAGGGAACCCCATTAAAGACCCCAAGATACTGTAATCTTATTATGGGTACCTCCAACAGGGTACCCCTAATTTTGGGACACCCCAATATATAGCGAGAAAGAAGCTTGGTTTGGCGTTTCTAGAAATCTGTCAACGACGGTCCCTGCACGCACTTCACAGGACCAGGTACCTCGCTGCTTTTGTATCATAGCGTGTCCGTATATTTTATAGCCCATTGTAGCCCTGAACCCACTAGCAACAAAAATCGCAAGATTGAATGCAGCATGATCAATGTTGTTATCAGCTGCCCCATTATCATGTGAAGTACCGGCAACTGCTGCTCCTGCTCGTGCTGCTCTTGCTGCTGCTGCTGCTGCCTCGTTGATGATCATGGACGAGGATGTGGGAAGTCCGAAAAATCCGTAACCTAGGACTTTCAACGCCACTGATGACTCCCTTGAGCCTTGCTAAAAAACATGCAGAGGGCCCCTTCTCATATGCATCCTATGCCCCTTTGAACTCCTCATACAGTCCCAAGATATTCAGAGGAAACGCTTTGTACAACCCATCTAAAGCTACTGAAACCCTCAACCCAAGATCACAAAATCTGCACATGACCCGTATGTCTCCTGAGAAGCCTGACAGATGCAGGCGCGGAAGAAACTCTGTACATTTGCATATGGGAGTTTCCCAAAATTTGTGTGTGTTTTTGGATGGGTCCCCAGAATAAGGACTCTAGTAATCTTAGTATGTTGGGTTCTATATTGGGGTCCCTTTATTCTGAATATCGGTGTGGAAACCCCAGTCTTCCCCACTCTAAACCCTGCCAAAACCTCCAAACTACCTCTAAACAGGGCGGATTCTTGGGCTGTAGGGGGTCCCCTTGCTATCCCACCTGAGAAGCGTCTTTAATTGGGGTACCATATACTCCCGAGGAAAGAGTAGGATTGTATCATATGTGGTTCAACCGCCAAAACACCCGCTGCTTACTTACAGCACTCCTAGAGTTCTAGACCCCAAACTCTCAAAACAACCGTACTCCTCATCCCACCATACATACGCACTACTTCGCTTTAGGGTTTAGGGTTTAGGGGTTTAAGGTTTAGGGTAGTCTCCATCCCATCTAGGACTCTCCCAAGTCTCCAATGCTCCGGCCCTCATCGCCATCGCCGTCCCTGGCGCCGCCGTCTTCCCCGAAGTCGCCCTCGCGGTCGCCATCGCACTCGCGCGTCAGGCACCCGTCCTTTAGGGCTTAGGGTTTAGGGCTTAGGGTGTTGCTGCAGGGGCCTACAAGAAATTTTCGCCAAATAAGGCGCCCCAAGATAGACCCTAATGCTACTCTCTACAATTGGGACTCCCAAAAAAGAGGCCCTTGCAGGAGTTTCGTAGCAAGGGGGCCTTAGGGACGCTTAGGAATAGATTGTTCAACCATGGCAGAATTGAAGAGACATTGTTATCAAACGAATACTTGTGAAACCAGGATCGGAGGACAACCAACCCTCCACCCGGCCGCCATGGTGAGAGGGCTTTGCTGAGAGGGCAAAACCCTCCCCATGGGAGTTTGGCAGAAAGGACAGGGCACAACATTCTATGAGGAGCATCAGGTCCACCTTAGGCACTGCGTAGGGAATAAAGGAGAACCACTGGGCTTCGGAGGCTTTGGATACCATAGAACAGCTACGCGTAGCAGAGCAGCAGTTCTTTGCAATGTGCAAATTAGGAGAAGTAATGCTAGTGCCCTCCGGCGCAAAGAGACATGATAGATTATCCTGTGCTAGCATAGTTACATACAATTACATGTTTGTTCTCATGATTCTCGGTGGCTATGGTGAGGGTGTGGGGTGGTGGCAGCGGCTTTGCTGGCAGCCTTAATGTATCGCCATGCAGGTTTTAGTTGCCAAATTGCTGCGCGAACTCTATTGGGATCACACCAGGGGACGGTGAAAAGGCTCAGCAATGCCCGAAGGCTCCAACTACTGCTATGAGATGTTACCTGACCACAGACAGTACCTACACAGAAACCTTCACGGAGCAAAGTGCATGCCATCTGCCAGCGATTTGGTTTGAGGTGTTGATCAAACCAGTGTCCCCGAAAGGTTTTGAGACATTGCTAGTTTCCGTGCGCGCTTTACCTGAGCCGTCCCAGTACCACGTTATCCTATGCTCCCCATAGGCTAAGCTGTAGAGTTGCAAATGGCAAAAAACGGATATTTGATCATCGGGCTTGTGGGCTCCTCAGGATATAAGTTCCCCACGGCAAGATGCGAGGAGGTCCTTCTCTATGGGCACTGGAGCCTCGGAGTAAACGGTATGGCCGCAAGGACGTTAAAAGCTAACCCCTAAACAATCTCCAACTGGAACCTTCAATCCCAAATCCCCTAAACCTTATGTAGGCCCACAAGCCTAGACAAAACCCTATGAAACCAAAACCCTATGAAGCCTAAACCCTATATAAACCTTACAAACTCCAGAAACCCTATAAACCCTATAAGCCCTAGGCCTGAACCCTAAACCCATTTCCCTAAGAGTCCAAGGACCCAAATAATAGGGCTTTAGGGCCCAAATATCATTAATATCATGGTTTTGGGGCCCTAAAACCCTATTATTTGGGTCCTTGGACCCTTAGTCCCTTAATATCCCAAAATATCCCCTTATAACCCCCTTTAAGGGGACCCTATTATTTGAGTCCTTGGAC